CCAACTTTTTTTTTCCAAGATGAAAGTACACATCAATGTAAATACAGTGCTATGGAATGTCCTTCCAGTTTTTTGTGAAGAAATATGAGCTTCTCATGAGAGAAATGAAAGCTTCGATTCCCGGTCTTCCTCACCGTTGTCCCACGCCCTTCTAGCTATAAATCGAATTTTTGCAGATGGTACTCTCAGTCAAATTACATGTAGAGATAGCTTTAGATAACCATATTTCACATACACTACAGGTGTTGTGGCTTAAGCAATTAAAAAGAATAAAAAGGCCCCGAAGTAGTCTGTGTACTACCTATTACAAAGAACAAGAGAAAACGGATCGGGATTGTGGTTTATAGGTCAGTGAGTCATTGACCGGTGAATCATACGTTCTCGTGAAAAGTTCTGTCGGTAGCTTACTTACGTTACATTTTTCTCGTTCCTGGTAAATCTAAGTAAATTCTCTGGTGTACGATCGTGACATGACTTCGGCAGAGGACGAGGGAGCTCCTCTACTGCCTGAACGCTGCTCGTACGATGCCTACGACCGCTTCAGCCGCTCGGAAAAAACCGCCATCGTCTCCATCGTCTGCTGGACCGGCCTTATACCCTGTGAGCGTTTTGAATTGGATATTTCGTGCACCGTTGCCGATTCAGATATCACAGTATTCGTTTCGGGCTCTTTCGTGCCGTCTATCCCTCAGATCGTGAAAGAGCTGCATTCTACTGCATCTATTATCAAGTGCGCTATTGGTTTTAACTAAACAAACGAAGTTTACGTCTGCTTATCGACGTTTCTCACTAGTCTCGCCGTCAGTCTGTCAATCCTTACAGTGTCTGTATCCGGCCTTCTGTGGGCTACATATTCGGGATTTTGCAAGTCAAGTTCTTTTTTTGACCTTTGTGGGTATTAAATGTTGATTAGATGGTCGGCGACCAATCTACCTCGTATCGTTGCCGTTCCTATGCATCGGGTCCCTGGGAGTCAGCTTCTCCCATGATGTGCCAACTTTAATAGGGTTCCGGATCGTCCAGGCTTTCGGGTCGTCAGCAGGGTTGTCTGTCGGGTCAGGCGCGATCGCTGACATCTATCGCCTCGAAGAGCGAGGAACGGCTATGGGGGTCTTCTTCGCAGTACGCTCGCAGCTGCATACACGTTGGTGGGAAATTGATGTGGTCGTTGACTTTCATTTCGTCTAGGCATGTCTTTTGGGACCTGCTCTCGCCCCGATGGCGGGCGGCATTGCGACGCATTACTTCTCATGGCGGCACATGCATTATACGCTGTTTCTCATGGGTCTCTCGGGCTTTCTCCTGGTGCTTTTCTGCTTGCCGGAGACCAGCCATCCTGGGACACTTGGTGCCGAAAAGCAAGATAGGGCATCCGGAGCCCAACATCGAATTGTGCTTCTGAACCCTTTTGCGAGTCTGTGGCTCCTTAGAAGTCCGAATTTGATGGCATTAGCGAGTCTCGCTCCGTATCTCCGGACGTGCATTCTTGTATACTAACCTTGCCAACAGACATTAATAGGCACCGTCGTTCTCATGACGGACTATGGTACGATCTCTACTGACACATACTCTATGTGTAAGAATCTGAAGGCCATTTTTAAAACTATCCAGTTCTCTTGATACCACTGGCGTACACTATTGTATTTCTTTTTTCAAAGCGTTACACTCGAAACCAGTCCTAAAACTTCTTTCGTTTACAGGGTGTCAAATACAAAATCACAAACGAAGCTCTCATCGGTGCATTCTTCCTACCGGCTGGACTTGGGAACTTGAGTGAGTCTCACCTGTTAATTCGAAGGTAATCGAAGTGAAATTAATCCTCTTACAGTCGGAGCGCCTCTGGCTGGATATGTTTCTGATAAGATCGTGGTTAGGTGGCTCAAGCGTCGGAACGGAGTGTGGGTCCCGGAAGATCGTCTGAGGGGAACTATTGTCGGCGCGTCGATTTTGGTCCCAATGTCGGTTCTCCTCTCGGGAGTTTTCACACATTTTGTTCCGGGGAAAATCGGCATCGCACTGAACTTGGTCTGCTTGTTCGCCAATGGACTCGGGGTACGGCTTTCTCATCAAACAAAAGATATAAAAACAACGTTCTAATATTGAATTTCTAACAGGTCGACTTCGTCTTGAGCCCCGCTGCAGCATACAGTGTGGATATCCTACATTCTCGTAGCACGGAAATCATGGCTGCAAACAAGTGACGTCTAATGCACTATAGTTCAAATATATTATGCTGATGCCAGGTTCCTATGAAGTGGCCTGCGCGGCATTCTGCTTGCTGCAGTCACGACATTAATTCTTCCCTCCATAAACTCTATTGGAGTCCTTCGCACAAACGTCATTTCTGCTGCTCTGGCGTGGATGGGAGCCATGTAAGAACACGATCACCCACATTCTTTTCTTTTCTTGATGACCAGAACTTCGTTTCAGTCTGATGTGCATCACCATCAAGTATGGGGATCGATTACGAGCATGGAAAGATGTCGGATTCTCAACGATCGAAAATTCATAGACGATCGACCTAGATATTATCGTGTTTTATTATCTCAATCGTTTTAGATAGGCTAGTACTCGGTTGAAAATAATGACTAGTTATAGAAGGAGACTCAGCACGGTACCAGTGCATTCGCCTGAGTTTTGACTGCCTCAATACTGCGCTTGGTATAAACCCTCCCGAACCTAACCGGTTTTTCCGCGCAGCGACCGGATATTCGCTACTAGTCATCTTTTTCGACCTCACCATCATCTTCATCGTCAGAGCGTACATCGGTTGCCCCATCGCCAGACAAAGCGCTGTAATAAATAGATTATACATTGAATCTTGCAAGTATCCATAGCAATTATACGCACCGCACGAGTATGCGCAAGATCAGAAAGTACCAGAAAAGATTGAGGAACTGGAGCAGAAGGATGGGGACGAAGACCTGGTATTTCATCCACCACACCAACCATACGCCATCGGAAGGATGGAAGAACCTTGCGGCATCACTACGGCAACTTTAAATTTGATAGTTGGAGAATAAAATTCAGTAAGAACACATACGGAATAAGGTCATACTCGGTCCATACAGAGTATAAGATAACTAGGTTTAGCCAATGGCGGAAGTAACTGTAAGGAACATGTCAATCGAAGTATTTAGGATCGCCTTTGCGCTGTTTGGCGTACGTCCAGACAACAATGAAAACAGCGAAGGAAACCATCTTGGTCCTTTCCAATTGGAGGTAGTTGCAGAGTTTGGAGAACTAAAAGAAAGTCCTCAGGTTTCCTATAGCGGCATGGAGGGAACTCGCCACTCACAGCCAAAAATGTATCCGGGATGTCCATACTGACGAAAATGGCATTGCCAATCAAAGTCAGATTAATACCATAACTCCAGCTAGGTTATAAAACATCAGAGGGGTTAGCATCGAAAATCTTACAAAAATAAACGAACCCAATAAGCCAAAGCGTCACGATGTGGTGCGCAACCAACTCTTGGAAATCCTTGCGGGGCTTTTCGATCTTAAGTGCAAGAACGATAAGTTGCTGGATCCAATAGGAGAAGTGCATCAGGTAGTAGCGCTTCAAGACGGGATTCATGTCCCAATGAGGGTAACCTAGCACGGATCGGAGACGTCAATATTTGATAGAATGACGGTCATTTCTGGCGGGATACGCGCCTATCCAGTAGAACTCTGTACGATACCACCACGTAGGAAGACTAGACATAATATACTTCAAAGGACCGATCAGCAGAGATTAGATCAAGAGAGAGAGAGAAAGGAAAGTCACCGCTCCCCAGAAACCCATAACACCATAGTAAAGCATGGAATACGCTTGCTCTCCAAACCTGTCCAATTTGGACTGTTTCTTAATTCCAAAGCGGCGAGCAATAGGCTGGATGACCTCGAGAATGGCGAATTGACGAACGAAGGAGAAGAAAATGATATGGTATGCTATAAACACGATGTCGAGCCAGCCCTTTGCGTAGCGCGGGTCATCTGGAGCAGAGTCTGCTATGGGGTATGAAACAAGAAGCATAGGTGCGAACGGGTTAGGCTGTATGCCGAACAGAGAAAAAATGGCGTAAAGCACGATGGGAAGCATTAACATTTTGAAGGAAGACGCTGTATAGTATCAGTATATACACTAGATGAACAAATCGTGCGAGTACGCTTACACGGAACACGCATCCATCTCAGCGTTTTGAAGTCGTTCCATAGTCCATTGGACCGATAGAATTCGTTTTTGGCGATGGCGTCAAAACGCGAACCAGTCGGAGTGGAGGTCCTTGAGCCATTAGGCCTATTGACAGTTAATTCACCCCCGTTCAGCAGGAAACTTCGGAAGGTGCCTTACGATTGAGGCAGGAAAGAGCCAGTGAGATGATGCCGAGGGTCGACCCTTGGGAAGCAAAATGACGGTCAGCATTGGTCGGGAGATTTGCCTGTCAAATACATACTCTATATTGTGTAAGGTCCGCTGCACAGAAGGGTCGGACTTTCTCTTTGAAGGTTTTCTCGACATTGGGGTACGATATAAAGGGTTGAGTGAGAAGTTCGTTAGTGGGACATAAAGCAAGGCAGAATGGGTGGGAGCGGATGAGATGGAGGTTGGGACCGAAGAAAAATATCGGATTTGAACTTCGAAACTACGTCAGCTGCGGCATTAGTCCGGCGACTTGGGATTGTCACGATTGCACGGCGCATCAGTAATGTAGGCTGACAATAAGAGACCGGAAACTGCACGGACGATCCCGGACTTGCCTAAGTTCCGCTTACATGCGACGCTCGGTCGAATGGTCTCTCAACGTCGCTGAAATGCTGGAAAACACGATGAGCAGCTGCAGCATGGAGGGATTTGCCTATATATGGAAAGTGTAGGACTATATACGGCGAGGAAGGGGCCCTATAGTCGAATGGGGCTCGAGCTGCGTTAATTTCCTTTCTATCCTTGCACTTGAGTTAAACTTGGCTTGAACACATACATTGTATTAGTCTATAAAGATCCAACGTGTTGTGGTCGTCTAGTGTAATGGTTTATCACGTCAGTCTCCGAAGCTGAAGGTTGCGAGTTCGACTCTCGCGATGATCGATGGGTTTTTTTCTTCTTGCGTGAAGTCCTGGAGTAAGCAGGGAGACAACATTTCAATATTTTTCTTCTGCGGGTCCGTTTCCCTAACAAGTATGAGCTGAGCAGAGCGATCGCTTGTTTGTTACATCAATTGGAAACGAATAAGCAGACTAGTGATCGCAGGGATGCTCAATGAGAGAAGAGAAAAGACGACGAAGTCTTTCGTAGGTGTCACTGCGAGCGAGCAACCTAACACGTGACGTATATGCGTCGCCGCGACAATCCGTAGCCACCTTTACATCTTGCAATGCTCGACGACGACATAGAAGCAGAACTTCGGAATCCCTTTCCTTCTCCGCCGTCACATTATCAACAATACTCAACTCACAATTTTTGCTTACTTGCGCTACTTAACTCGAGACAAGCAGAAAATGTCTCGGACAACGGCGAGAAGAAGGACCAACACGACGTGCTCGCTGATCAGAAGGACGTGCCAGACTGGCCTTTAACACAACTGGAAAAGCCACGCGTCGATTGGATACTGGAGGAAGGTCAATACAGCGTGTTCGGAGATACCTGGCATGTGCGTAAAATAATATCTATTGTTTCTGCTGATCTTCTGATTATTAGCTTGACTTAGGTCAAGGAGAAGATACTTTCCTTGGGAGAATATGGTGGACAACAACTCTATCCAGCGGATCCGACAATGGGCACGTAGAAACCCCGCGTTTTAAATTCCAAAACTCATGATATTCCTAATCTAGATCGTAGGCCCGCTTTGCTGTCTATCCTGCGCTCTATGTTGGTCACATACTCACATCTACTCAAATCAATGCTCGCCCCTCCACCGAACCCAAACTCTGCCGAATCTCCTGAATGGCAGAAACATGTGGACTGGCTGTCAGTTATGAGTCAGAATATTATGAGTGCGGCAAACGATCTACGGCCAGTCCAAGCGAGATGTAATTTAGAGGCCATGATGACACGACAGTTACAACTTAGGCGAGAAGAGACTGCAGTCATTCACCGGTACGATCTGCAGCTACTTTCTCGTTTTCTTTGGGTTTGTGTATAATTATCGAGCAGAAAATGCGATGATTTGCAGCGGCGACTTTCAGAGCTCAGGGTCGCCGCATCCAGCATGGTAATTTCCCTCTATTTAATCTCGGCTTTTCGTCGCTAATCTAGGAGAAATAGGAAACCAAATACTCGAATCAGGAAGACGAAGTCAAGCGACAGAAAGAGATCTGCTCGGTACGAATGGTATTTCTTCATGCTATGCGGTCTAAACTACGGTCTTAGACAACGAAGGATCAGGTTTCAAGTATGCAAGACGTCTTTCGTTGGGCCGAAGGTGCTTGAGCAAATTCTCGATCGCTGCTCCAGCAGACTGCTGCCTCCCCTTTCTGCAAGATCGGTATAACCTGCGCGCGATTGCGAGTCTGCCAAGGTTTGGCACATCAGACTCACATGTGCATGTATTTAATCATCTCGGCGGCTAAGCGCTTCTCTAAGTAACTAAGTTATGTCTCATGCTGTATGGCTGTTTATGTAGGAATATGTAATAAATAGTTGGTCGCTGAAGTCGACATTGACAGTGTGGCGGTGCCGCTGACGCGACACGATCATCGCGTTCGAAACCTGAACTGTTACCACAGCGGCAAGCAGCTCAAATGTCGACAAGAAGACGTATCGGAGTGAGTACAGCGACGACTGAAGCTGCGCGTCGGCAGTTAATGCAACCTGTGCCGTGCTGGGAAAAAGTTTGGGTCTCACCTCAGGACGCTCCACCAAATTCCACGCTTAAAGTCTTCAAGTGGGTCAAGACAGACAAGAGACAAGTAAATAACTCAGTTCTCCGGCCGCCCGATTCTGATCTAAAACATTTCAAACAGAACTTCAGTGATGATGAAGAGGAGCCTGATTTGCCTCTCGCGCCTCTGCCAGACCTAGAGTCTCAGGTCATCGAGGGTGACGATGATATGGAGGATGACCCAGCCACTTCCGTCGGTCCTGACGTCGCGTCTAGAGCCGTTTCTGAGCCTGTCGCTGTCGCCCAGGAGTCTGAAGAAGCAACACCCGCTCGACCGAAACCTCATCCATTATCCATGTCGCTCGTGCCCGACTCACCGACGCCAGCGCCAGATATCGACGAAAACGGGATGGACGTGGGTCTCAAGCCTCTCGATTCCACCCTAGACGCATCTCTTGCACTTGATGATGTGGCGGGGACGTCACTGCAGGTTCCTCCAGAGCTGAGTGGAGACATCGAGGTCGGGGACATCGAAGTTGGGGATATGGACATGTCACGATTGGGGCCCGATGGAACACAATTTGAAGGCACTGGGGACCTCGCGCAACTTCAAGGGACTGACGTTCTGCTTGGCGGAGAAACTATGGATGAGAGCGTAGATCCGTTCAATCCACCCTCTTGAGATTTCCTATCGTCCATGTTCGAATTGTCCTTCTCGTCTTACCGTCGGACTACTTTAGCTTTCGGTAACCTTTCAAAGTTGTAAATTAAGCCATAAGTGTACTATTTTGTTTTCGCTCTTAGACTATCGAGTGCGTAGTACAAGGACTTGAGATATATATTCAAACTAACTGTAAAACTAAGCACCAACACAATGGACGTGAGATATGGATGCAGATGTCGATGTCTTGTTCTTCGTTGTGAGTGGCTTTGCTCTTCAACTCCTTCATCTGATCAGTTTTTTGACGTCAACGATTTCAGAGCATGCTAAAGCACACGGCTATAAGTCATTGCAAATGGCGATGACTTCGGCCGCCCCAGATTTACAACGGCTATTTGGCATGGAAATCTCAGGGATCCGGGACCGACGCTATCGGCGATTAGAAATTGGTTGAGCGAGTACGCATAGGAGGTTCGAGCCGACTGTCGCGATGTCAACCAATGACTGCAATCCACATAGAGGGTAAAACAATTACATAGAATTCCACCTTCCTCGCAAGCACATCAACCCCCTTCCTCTTCATCATCAAACCAGTGCTCCTCCTCCTCTCTTTCGTTGTCTGAGTCCCACTGGTCACTCCAATCAATGACATCGTAGTCAATCAGCTAATTTGAAAAAAAAAAAAAGTCTCAGTTACCCCATGTTTTGAAGTGTAGTCTGGAACTCACGTCTAAGAGACCATAGATGAAACGTTCACGGATCAACCGTTCAAAGTTCGCTCTGGCCTCTTCAGGGGAGTCTTCGAGGATGGCTTCACCCTCAGAGTCCTCGTCGCTATAGTCTTCCAAAGGAACGCTATTTCCTTCAGACCTCCTTTGCATTCGTAGTCGCTCGGCCTCTCTTTCTTCAGCATAATCGCCCAAGAGCGATCCAAGCTTTCCGACATGCTGTTTGTGCCCACCAAGGAACATTGAGTCGGCCCATTCTTTTTCGTCATTGCGTTCCCCTTGTCCTCGTTTAGGTCCGACATCCCTTCCGCGCCAAAGGGCCGGCCAAGAGTTTCGAGCAGCCTCAAAGCCAAGATTCGAAGGCTGAGAGCTTGTGTACTTTAACCGTCGATTCCTAATAGTCGGGACGAGTGTGCGCTGCTTCGGCGTAGTTACGACAGAGAACGTGAATAGCAATTGTAGAGGAAGCTGCCTTAGATGTTTCCGGAGAAACTCGATAGGTTCTAACGAAGGAAGCGGACGGTAGTCTTCAGGCAAGCCCAAGTAATCCAGAATTGGGCCGTTGTTGAACAGCGAAGGAACATCCATTGGATTCACTTTTTCTACGAACAACGTACAGTTGTGAGTCCAAGTTACATCTGACTGATAGAAATGGCGTCGGTCACGTGCGTCAAACGCGTCGTCGTCAAATTCGCGTAAGCAACTAAAAGTTTTACAGCAACTATCGGTAATGATAAGCGTCTATACTTTTGCCACATATCTATAGCAAATCGCTACTAGTAAGCGGATAAACCATGAAACTGTTCATTCTTCATAGTAAAATCATTGTTCCTTCGCCTTCCTCAGCAGGAGGAAATCCTCCCAATTTAATAAAAGAGGGTTCCGCATTCCCTTCAAAGTACAATCAGCATGCGGATAGAGTTTTGTTGGGTTGGTAGACTCTGCAATACGTCCGATATCGAGCACGTATATACCATCATATGATATAATCGTACGAAACCGGTTTTTCCCAAACAAAAACTGACATTAAGACAATGAACACCGTTTAAAAGTAAGGCGAACGCACGGAAAGTGCAGAGAATTTCCTTATTTTTGAGCTCATGTCCAATCGTGTCTTGAATGTTTCGATTTATGTAATCAATAGAAACTGCGAGTTTACAGGAACAAAGTAATAACATGGTTGCAAATGTAACAGAGTACATTTACCTGTGGTTTCATCTAGTAAAGCCACCTTAGAGTCATTCGCAAGTGCACACGATAGCGAGTCCAATGACCTCTGTAAAAACAGCAATGAGCAACAGGCAGACAAACAGGTGGGTCACACTCACCATCTTCAATGGATTTTTAATGTGTAGATCATTTCGCTGGTGTCTGGACGCCATTCTTAGTACTTTCTTCTACAGACAGGTCCACGGAAGACGAATTGGTCTCTTCGACAAGGGACGACCGTTTCAGTGCGTCCTAGAGACAAAGATTAGAAGGATCGAGGTTGCTGCGGAACGCTCTGGAGAGCAGGCTAACTGTCAGTGTCATAGAAAATGCATTCCCATAACGTACATACATAGAGGCTAGATATTCGCATCAATTAGTAGTTAGCAATCACGCACAACATTATAAAGATGGATGACACACCGAATTTCAGACACATTCATTCAACCCATCAGTAGAGATATCAATTCCGCCAGTAGCTGTTGACGCGAGTTCAAAAAGAGCGACATGATCATCGACTTCCCAGCGCCATTTCATCTAGATCGGAGCTGAGAAGAACATGTTGACAGCAATAATCGATCCTCGAAACACCAGTAGAAATGTGGCTGACCACGTTCTTTGCATTAAGAGTGGACCACGCACAAGAAGAAAGAAAAAAAAAAAAGATCAG